ATTGACTTTTCTACTTTGCTCTGCTAGGCATGAAAAGGGTTGTAACCCTACGTGCTAGACCTTGAACCCAAAGCTTACATCAGAAGTAGTCGGATCGATCTAGGTGTTTCCGAAAAAATGAGGGAGCCCTAGTAGAGGCCCTTTGCCGCAGGATGCTCACAATCCAAGGGGAAAAGGACGGACCCTTAATGGGGACTCCTACCCTATAATGGGCTACATAATGGGTATATAAATGCTATATTATGGGTATATACCTAGGGGTCCTTATTAAGTATAGCCATTATATACCCACTATATAGCCCATTATACGGTATGGGTCCCCATTAAGGGTCCCTCCAATTGCCCTGGGACACAAAATTTGGACTCCCCCAGGAACGAGACGGGACTCCCGGATTTCCCCACGTAAACCAAGGGCCAACCAGGGTCTTTTGATGTAATCATAAACACTCACACAGGGCTCGAATACTTCAGAGTTTGTTTTTGTGTTGAGGGGTGGGGGTCTCTATATATATATATATATATATATATTCTCACACACACACAGTTTCACCATATGGCTTCAACTGTACATGCCTTCTGAATATAAGGCTGGGTTCAAGGTTTTAGGGTTCAGGGGTTTAGGGCTTTGGGGGTTCAGGGGTTTGGGTTAGACATGCTTTCTGAATATGAGGCTGGGTTCAAGGTTTTAGGGTTCAGGGGTTTAGGGCTTTGGGGGTTCAGGGGTTTGGGTTAAGAGGTTTGGGTTTAGGGTTTATAGGGCTTAGTGACAATTGGGAGTTTGCGAAAATTAGGGTACCTTATTTGGGGGGTCCTTATAATAAGGATCCCACTATTCAGGGTACTATATTAAGGTCCCCTAGTTTCGGAAACTCCCATTTCGTGACTAACCAAGCAATGGCAGGATCTCAGCAGTGGACGGCAGGAACCTCTCCTTGGATTCGCCTGTTGCCAGCACCCTGCTAGCACTGCCGAGTGTAGGGCTTAAGCTGTTCGAGATGGTCGTGATGTTTGCATACATGTCTACTTGAAACTAGACCCAGTAACTAGGCATACATGATAGACCACGCTCGTAGCAGCTATTATCTCTCTCTCTCTCTCTCTCTCTCTCTTTTTTATTGTCCGTCTTTGCTTTTTTGGTCTCCGGCGCACGGGGCATGATTGTCAACCTGTCGGCGCGGTACTCGCACTGTTGATGTACCTCGCTGGGATATTCAAGCTGCTAAGTGCCTGTAATTGAGCAAGACACGGCAGCATCGCATATGCGGCGGAAATGACGGCTTGATGCTCAACAACCCCCTTCGCAATGAGACACAGTAGACTGTCACGATGAAACCGAAATATCGGTCGGAACAGATATACTAGTACAAAACCCTTGTAGTCCAAGTTACAATTATAATCTCGAACATCATTGAAGCTCCTGTGTTATGCACTTGAGGGTCTGACACCGAGCAGTCGTATGCCCAAAAGATGGCCCACAACGCCACAAAATCCAACACCGAACGGTCCTACAAGAGGCCTTGCGCCTGGCCTTTCAACTTAAAACCCAAATCTGCATCCCATCCCTGAAACCTATAACGTAAGAACCGTATAACCCATACCACCCATATGGGAGTTTCCGAAAATAGGGGTACCTTATTTTGTGGTCCTTGTAATACGGATCCTGCTATCTAGGGTACTATATTGGGGTCCCCTATTTTCGGAAACTCCCATATCCCTAAGCCCCGGAACCCCAAACCCGAAACCCTCAGCGCAGACCACCGCCCTCGACCCTAGGCCCGAACCGGCAGCCAGAGCCCTGCACCTAAACCCTGAACTCTAAACCCTAAACCCTGAAAAAGCGCCCTAAAAAAAAAAACTAAACCCTAAGCCCTAAACCGTAAAAAACCCTCAACCATGAACTTTGTTTCTCAAAACCTAAACCATATCTGAGGGCAGGCCTTTTAGGCGAGACCGGACCTACCCAAAAAGTATATACTCCCTGTATATGTGCATTGGCCCCAAAATATATGCTATTTGGGTACATGGACCCTTAAACCCCAAACCCCTATAGAAACCCTTATGGTACCCTTAAAGGAACCCTTAAAGGAACATTTGAAGGAACCTTAGAGAAAAACCATATCAAGCCAGCAGCCGGAGCTCCAAATGAGGCCGGGTGGTTCAAGCAAGTGCGCTGGCCCGGGCGAGGCGTGCCCAGCGGCTGGGTGCCTTGCAACCGTCGACGGGGTTTAGGTGTTCGGTGTTACGGTTCAGGGGTCTCAGGGCTTACGGGTAGGGTTTAGGGTTTAGGGTTCAGGCGAGGTTTTGGGGTTTAAGGTTTAGATTTGGGATTTAGGTGCAGGGGGCCCTGCGAAGACGCAAAAAACGATCCTAATACCTTAAGCCACAGGCTTTACTACACCCTAAAGGGCTGCGGCGATGGACTGTATCGTGCGAAAAGTTCGGGCCATCACCGCCTTGAAGCTTGAAGCCCTAGTAATCGGGATGTTGGGTTCCGGGATCCGCGTTCAGGGTGTAGTATAGGTGGGAGTTAGGATTAGGGGGACCCTTGGGGAAATTTGAAATAGACCCTCTCAATAAGGCTCCTTTTAAGAGAGCCAGAAGTAGGGTTCAGAAGGGGTACCCTTTAAGCGGTCTCCCTAATACTACTACCTACTAGGGGGGTGGTTTCGGCTTAAGGTTCCCAGGTTATGGTGAAAGGGTTGAGGGTCCGCGTTTACTACAGTCTCCTTAGGAATTATGTTTTATTTTTGTTCATATAAAACCCAAGAGAATATTAAGCATGTTATTTTATTATGGTTCTAGAGGGGGGAGTATAGTTTAAGGTTTGAAGGTTCATGTCGTAGACTTGGGAGGATGAAAAAATAAGGCCAAACTGAAAAGCATGCGGCAGCTCAGGTTCAAAGTTTACCCTGAGGGTCCAAAGGACCCAAAGAATTGGGTACTTAGGTTTCTGATAGTAGTTACGTAGGTTACGACTCGGGAGAGTATTGGACCCTTAGGATTAGGTATGTCCAGCTTGCAAACCTGCCAGCCGGCATCCCCCAGACCACTTTGCCTCAGTGGCTGAGTTGGTAGCCTTTAACTTTTTGGGGTTCATACAGCTGATGATATATACCCTGCATTACCCATAATACGGAATATACCATAATTCTCATAGTCTAGGGTCCTTAAGGTAATGCAGGATTTGTATCATCAACCGTATGATCCTACGAAAAGGTTACTCAGCCCGTTGGTTTCCCTTTAACCACACTGCCAAGCCCCCCAAAAGCCCTGTGCTCCCTCGCTTAAGCCCTTCAATTCCCTTCAACCCTGCGCTTTCCTTTTTCGGGTTTAGGGGTTCAAGGTTTAGGGTTTCGGAGTTTAGGGGTTTATGGGTTCCTTCCATTTTAATTCTCTTCGCCGCCAAACCCACAAGTGTACGCCCCAACCTCTCATGCCATAAACCCCGAACCCATCCCTACTCGCTGATAATCAAGCAGGATAACTAGCATTGTGATAGCCGGCGCCTGTATATGGAGACTTTTCACCCCCCTTTATACCTGCCGATGAATCTCCGAGTAAGCCCATCCCAATGCTAAACCTCGAAGCCTCAATCCAACTACCCAAAACCCTGAGCCTAAACCCCTGCAACCCCCGAAAGCCCCCTAAGCCACTAAACCCCCAAAGCCCCAAAGCCTCAACCCAGAGAGCCCAATACCCGGTAATTAAGGAATATGGCTTAAACTAGAAAGTCTTCGCATCATTCTTGAAGCTATATTCCTTCTAAGGGTATTAGAGGTTCTCTGGGAAAGCCCCCAAGCCTCCCCAAGTCGTTCGGTAGTGCAAAGCAGAGGCTTGTACAGCATCGTGCACGACTTCGAGTCGCCTGGCCCTATGGTTTCGAAGGGCCGGATAACTATGTACCCGGTTTTGGATTTAAAGTTCAGGGTTTAGGGTTAAGAGCTTTTAAAGTTTAAAGTTCAGGGTTTAGGGTTAAGAGTTTTTAAAGTTTAAAGTTCAGTGTTTAGGATTTAAGGTTTTAAGATAGCGTGAGAGCTACTGGAATTTTGAGCGGATGCACATCATTCCAGCTCAAGCTTCCCCTTGTACTCCAGGCACAGGTTGTCTGTTTAGGAGCTCAGGGTTTGGGTTTAGGCGCTATGGAAGATCCTAGAGTCCCTATACAGTAGAAGCCAGAAAGTTGGAACATTATTATCCCCATGTCCATAAGGTAAAGTATAAGGGATCCTAGCACTGCTCCTCCTAAATCCATGTTCCAACTTTCTGGCTTCTGCTATAGATTTGGACCAAAGTTGGATGCACATTTTGAAGCCCGTCTTCAGTCCACGGGCAATTTGGATGCATGGTTATAGGCTATAGTACGAAACGGGAGTGAGCCCCAGAACTGTTCCTGAACGCGGATGGCTGTGACGACGGAAAGCGCCAGACCGTTCGTCACAGTCCACCGATGGGCTTCTGCTTTTTCTCACATGTACCAGTGGTCAATGCCTGCTCCATGCGAACACGCACGCCCAAGGAGTAGTATAGGGGCCTTAAACATTACCTATGCTATTACGGGTTCCCTATGATACCTGTAGTAGACGATGGCCCCTAAACCCTATTCTAATTACAAAGGCTCCTATGTAAAGCCCTAAAACTCAATTCTTCAAGCAGGCACTGCAAAGGTCTCGCTGTTTAACAGCGCACACATGGACGAACTTATGCAGATGCCATATGGGTGGTTGTCAATATTAGGGTCCCTTTTGGGGTCCTTACTATAGTGCGGCACCTAATATTTAGGGTACCCCAAAAGGGGCCATAATTTTGACCTACGTGTATACCGGACCGGAGACTTGAAATCGCAGTCCCTAAACCCTAAAACTTATGCCAGATACTGGCACTGGGAGACCTTGTGGAGATGTTTCCATCTATATAAAGTTTGTGAGCATCAAACACCCGACTAGTCTCAAGTACATACAATCACCTTTCACTGAGAAGCGGGAGCCACATTGACTTGTGATATGTTTGTTGCCTCGATCTTCACGAAGTGCTACATCTCCAAGGCCCACTCCAACACGCCAACGTCCTAAACCACAGCCCCATATACTCAAAACATCAAACCTTAAACCCGAATCCCTAATTAAACCCCGTTATTTACACCATAGAAACCCAGGAATGACCCATCACCACAGAATCCAGGAATGACCTACTCCCACAACAACCTCTTTACACCATATAGAACCCCAGGAATGAGTTGGTGAACTTCGACGACCACCTCACGGAGGGTGCTGTGGCCTGTGCGCTGTCCCACCTCGCAGCGCTTCAGAGACTTCGCCTTTTCCTGGAGGGTTTCGGGTTTTGTGGTTTAGGATTAAGGGGTTTAAGGGTTCAGGAGTTGTGGGTTTCGGGTTTTGGGTTTATTTCTGGCTGGCACGGATCAGTAGGTCTTTGATACAGGCAGCCTTTGATGTGACTATAGCGACCTACCAAGCTACTTGCTTACCTACCTACCTGCATAATACTTACAGACGGACAGACAGACAGACAGACATCCAAACTACATGCATACATACTCATGCATGAAAGCATGCATGCATACATAAATACACACATGCTTATGTGCAGACACACATATAAACTGCATGCGCGCATACATACCTGCATGCGTCCAGACAAACAAACAAACATACATGCTACAACATTTCTACTTACTTACACACATACAATCACACATTCACCGTTACATGTTTGCACACAGACACCCACTCCCGCATGAACTAATTCATGCACTTACTCATACAGTCTTTCATACATTCACTCATAGATGGAAACACGGATACGGCATGCGTCGATGTACATGTACATGCCCATGTAGACACTTGCAGAAGCGCAATCCCACACATGCGTACACATTGACATTGAGATACATGTGCTCTTACATCTAAATACATACTCACATGCTTGCAGACTTGGGTACACGCATACATGCATGTAGGCATGTAATCATCGCATACATTTTTACATACATTCACAGACGCATGCGTGCATGCTGCTTTCATGGGTACATACATGCACTCGAAGTCGCACATATGTGCATGCCTACCTACACACATACAGATGTACGGGCATGCATGCATGCACGCATCCATCCATCCATCCATGCATCCATCCATCCGTCCATAGCCATGCATGCAGACCGACAGACAGACAGATACGTACATAACCGACACCGACAGAGACGCAGAGACAGACAATCACAGAGCGACGCAGAAAGGCACGGACGAGTAGGCAGGCAGGCAGGTAGATAGACAGACATAGCACATGCTAAGTCTCAAGGAAAGTGGCAAACGACTCCTCGGCAGACTGGGGCCTCATTTTGGAAGACGATGTGTCCTTGGTGGTGCCGGACGTTGACAGGCGACTGGCCGGGATCATTCTGGTCCTAGCTTAGGGGCTTAGGCTTGGGCTGGATCGACGGTAAGAATAGGAAACCTGGGAATGGCGCAACCGGATGCATACTGGAATTACCTCCATTCGTCTATACATGTAGTTTAGGGTTTAAAAGTTTAGGGTTTTGGGGTTTAAGGTTTAGGGTTTAGGGTTTAGAAGTTTAGGGTTTAGGGGTTTAGGGTTTAAAAGTTTAGGGTTTTGGGGTTTAAGGTTTAGGGTTTAGGGGTTTTAGGTTTAGGAGTTTCACGTCCTAAATCTCGGCTCTAAGTCTCGTGGCCCCTGTAGTGGCCGTAGAGTTTCCCAAGGGTCCAAAGGACCCTTTAAAGGGTTCTATGCGGTTCCTTTAAATGGGCTACTACTAGGGTTCTATAAGGTTCCCTTTAAAAGGGTTACCATAAGGGTTCTACTATATATGGGCCTTAAGAATTAGGGACTCGGTTTTAGGATAGTAGTTATGTAGGTTAGGATTTTGGTGAGTATATGATTATTTGGTACTTGGACTTTTGGTACTAGCCGAGCCCAGCAGGTCAATTTCGACCATCCTCGAGCAGTTGCCCGCTCACTGGAGTGCTGTGCCGCCCGTCTTCAATTTCCAAGAATACACGACCCTTAGTCCATTGCGGAATATCCCCCCCCAAAAATGCACTACCCTCAAATCCACAGACCCTGGGCCCCACCGGATTTCGTGTGTCCGGCAATATTCGGGATCAAAACTTGTTGTGTGTTTGTTTGTTGTCTGGTGGAGGGCTCGAAGCTTCTTAGCAGCGATTGCACTTCTCTTGCAGAAGCTTTGCTCGTTCGCGCTTCATGGGCATCTGAGATGAGGAAAGCTGAATGTTGCACAAACCCATGAAGTGAAGTCGAAAGAGGAAAAGAGAGCAGCCACAACAATATCAACTTATCTACTTCCACCGTTTTGAAGTACGGAAAGTTCACGCACCACCAACAGGCAGGATCTCTTGTTTAGGAGTGTCGGTTGAGGTTTCAAACTCAACCCGAAACCCAAATCCCTTGGTCCCAGCGCCAAATTCCAGCACCCCAAACTCCCAACCCTGAATCATGACAGCCAGGTTTAAGACCCTGAAGCTTGAAGCTGAAGCCGTAAGCCCTAAACCATTTCCCCTTAAAGCCTAAACCTTCAACCCTAATCTGCCGCCGAAAATGAACTAGGTTTCTTGGCTACCATAACAAGTACGGCTGCCCACATCGGCGCTCTGCCAACTCGTCCTTTCGGCGCTTTGATGACTGGGCAGAGGAGTGCTTGGGTTTCTTGTTGCTGTAGTAGTAGGGCTATAGGGTATAGGGTTGCTTCATGCGTTGTGACTGGAGTTGGTTGCCTTGCTATACATCCTGCCTCCTCAAGACTCAAGAACAAGAGCCTAAGAGCAATAGCAGGTGTTTCCCTACTCGAATCCTGCTTACACGAGCATGTTGCTAGCAAGCTACCAAAAGCTTGACAGAAGCTCTCCGGCGGTGATCAGATAGGCATAGGCCATCTGGGCCAGCATGAGTTTATGCAAATCTTGCCTGAGTTAAGACTCGTCAAGCATGCTGGCATCCCGATGGCGCTCTCAGAAGCACTCCTTTCTTGTATCGTTCTGTCCAGAAGAGCTGAGCTTTCAATGAGCCCAAACACAACACAAATGGGTGGTTGTCAAAATTAGGGTTCCTGTTCGGGTACCCTAAATATTAGGTGACATACTATAAGTATTAGGGACCCCCAAACGGACCATAATTTTGACAACCACCCAAATAGATGGGCAACGAATGTCGTCTCCAGCAGACTCCAAACCCTAAGGCTCCATGTACCCATATAGTAGGCACTTAGGCCTTAAAGTGCCTATATAGGGACCTCTTCAAGGCTTAAGTATCTACTATAAAGGCCTTTGGGATAGAATCCTAAACCCTAAATCCTAAACCCCTTTAAGGCTTAAGTATCTACTATAAAGGTACATGTAGCCTTTGGGAAAGAAGCTCTAAGCCCCAAAGGGCAAGGCCCAGGCCTTGACCTACAAAAGGCACCGACACAAACTCCCAAAAGCTGAACCGACGTTCATAGGGTCTTTAAAGGGTTTAGGGCTCAGGGTTTAGGGCGGTTTAGGGTTTGGGGTTTAGGGCTTCAGGGGTTTAGGGTTTAGGGTTTCAGGGGTTTAGGGTTTAGGGTTTAGGGCGGTTTAGGGCTTCAGGGGTTTAGGGTCTAGGGTTATCTCAAAATCACCAACCCTCTTAGGGATGACAAATCCGGAGCTCAGGAGGAGCCAGGGATGACCGAGGTAGAGCCCGTCTTCGAGATCCACGACCACAACTGGGGTCTCTATGCCTGGATGGTCAAGAAGGACCCAAGTGGGAGTTTCCGAAAATATGGGACCCTAATATAGTACCACGATAGTAGGATCCTTATTATAAGGACCCCAAAATAAGGTACCCCTATTTTCGGAAACTCCCAAGTGACATCCTAATTCAAACCCAAGCCCATTGTCTAAAGACCCCTACTACACCTTACATGCTATTCCTTGTTTCTAGGTGGGAGGGTGGTGTGGTTCAGCGGGCTTGCGTTTCAGTTTACGGTGTTTTGCATCCTCTCGCCGTGATACCCCCCCCTCGCCCCACCAAATACCCAACGAGCCGAAAAAAACACAATTTAAGGAACAATTCAAGACCCAGCTAGCTGCAGCAAGGGGTCCTAGGTTTGGGCTTGCGTCGTTTAGCCACCCTGAGCCCTAAACCTGGGGATTGAAGGTGCAGGGCGTGCAGTGTTGAGATTCACATTTCAAGCGTTCAGGTCGTCTGGGTTCCCTGTTTCTTCTTGTGCCCTAAACTGAAGCGAGCTGCGGGCGCTGCGAATAGCAGCAGCGAGCGTGCCGAAGCGTCAGTGAGGCTGGCTCCGTAGCTGGCGCGACAGGCGCAGCGAAGGAGCCCCAGCACCGGCTCAGGTGCTGGCGCATGCGACAGGCATGCTAGCCAATCAGAACAATATGACCCTAAACCTCCAAGCTCGGAGGGCCCCATCCCTTAGGGTTTAGGATTTAGGATTTAGGGTTTAGGATTTAGGATTTAGGATTTAGGATTCAGGATTTAGGATCTATGGTTTAGTTTTTAGGATTTAAGATTTAGGATTTAGGGTTTAGGATTTAGGATTTAGGATGTAGGATTTAGGGTTTAGGATTTAGGATTTAGCCTATGTGCCTGCCTGGGTGGGCCGGCCTGGGCCCTCCTCCCTGGGTCGGCAGGTCTTGGACCAGGGACTGTTGCGCCCCACCCTCCGCTTGTCCCGGGCCCCCCCCCCCGTCCTTCCCTGCCCTGCCTGCCCTGCCCCCTGCTCCTGCTCTCCCTGCTCCCCTGCCCTGCCCTGCCCTGCCCTGCCCTGCCCTGCTCTGCCCTGCTGCCCTGTCCTGCCCCGCCCACTGCCCTGCTTGGCCTGATTTTGGGCCACCGCCAGACCAAGCCACAAACCTTGAAAAAAACCCTAAACCCGACAAAGGTCATAGACTGGGTGGGCGGGTAGGGCGAGAGCGTTGAACCTGGGCGCACACCACAACACACGTCTCGCGTGGTGGTGTGCGCGGAGCATCGACAAACCCTAAACCCTAAACCCTAAACTCTGAGCGGAGGAAGCGGCGCGACTTCTGGTAGAAGAGCTCTTCCCGTTCCTTGGTCTGCGAGTTCTCTAAACGAGCGAGGCCTGAGGGTTCGGACGTTAAGCCCTAAGCCCCAAGGTTTGAGCAATCAGTGATGTGTTATATATATATATATGTATATATATATATGTATATATATATATATATATGTATATATATATATATATCAGGGTTTAGGGTTTTAGGGTTTAAGGGTTTAGGCTTAAGCAGCTCTCTGAAGGACGGGTCTCTAGGCTTTGCGACGTGGTACCAATAGTCAGTCTCCATTGTAGTTCCTGTTTTTGATATTGGTTTAACCACTGGATCCTGTAAGGCCTAGAGTCTTTGGGTGTTCAAGCTTGGATCACCCAAGAGTTTCGAGTCAAAGCGTTTGGGCAACAGGGCGAATGTTTTCGTGCGATAGGGCTCGGAGGTTTCATGCTTCAAGGCATGTGACCTAACCTAATGCCTACATAAGCCTTGAAACACTCTGAACTCCGGACCCTGCTGTGCACCCTAAGCCCTCATTCTTAAGGCCCTGAATCCCGATTTCATGTGTTCCAAGGATCAGCAGCCAAGTCGACTATGCGATTTCCAGGTTCCTCATCACCCAGCACCTTGTCTGGCAGGGGTGAGTAATATTACAGACAGCTGCTCTGCTGTAGTTCTTTAGCCACAGGGATCTGAATAGACAGACGTTACTTGTTCAGGAAACATAAGTCATGGAAAGTTGAATCTACGGTTTGGGTCGCATCAACTCTTCAACTAAGAAACGGAAGCAAGCATCAGGCTCCTCGATCCCTGAAGATTTGTATGCCACAGATAGCAGATTCTCTGCACGGTCGATGTACTTACCCTAAGGCTCCACGTACCCATATAGTATATACTTAGGCCTTAAAGTGCCTATATATAGGGACCTCTTTAAGGCTTAAGTATCTACTATAAAGGTACATGGAGCCTTTGGGTTACTGTGCTGGATGCATTGGGCCGTTTAAGATTATGGTGATGGGTGCTACTCCGACTTGAAATCAAGTGCGGGTTATATGCGGATGTTGCTGACCCCATACATGGTACCTTAGGAATTAGTGAGTGTATATTTGGGTGTCCTCTCGGGGATGTCAGCAAAAACAAACCTTCATCGTACGGGATTGTTGCCCTGACGCAAAGGATTGTCCATAACTGAAGGAGCCTTGGATGGCCCCGACAGCGGTACAACAGCCTCTTTACACCGCCAACCACACAAACAACACAAAAGTTTCAACACCATGATACCTCTTCCAGCAAGGCCTACGTACCAACATTTCAGTCTTGAACCTGTTAAAGAGTAGGCTGGGTTAGCTTCAGACGACATTCATTAATTAAGCCCCAAAACCACCAACAAGCAAGAGCAGCTGCTCAGGTGTGGAGGGGTCTTCTCTGTCCATCCAGATAGGCTGCTGTTCTTCAGTCCGACAAGCATCCTGTCTTCAAGGGGAGAGTTTTCAGCACTAGCGTTAGAATCAGTTTAGTGATCCGCATTAGCATCAAAATACCGCGTTTTCGGCGTTGCAAGGGGTGTTACGGATGGCTTTGGCCTGAGGTTTTCACAAGCCGACAGCGAAGCACTGATGTCACATAGCATGTGATACCGAGATGGGCTATTTCATGCAAAGCAAACTAGGATGCGGTGCGCGTGGTTCAGACTCTGTAGATACAAGCGCTCACTGCCATGTGGACACTTTCAACCAGAGGCTTAGGGGCAAGCCTCAGAGAATACGACCGTCAAATGTATGGCCGTAGTGTATGACATATGAGACGAGCCTCCAACCGCCCTCCAACTTTCTTTGTACCCCCATATAGGATTTCTTTGTGGTACAGTAAACCCCATAAAGTAGGAAATCGGATCAAGGCCAAATAGTGCTGGGATTCCCTGTGCATTGCTCTTAGGTTGCGGCTGTTGGGTTTCCAACTTTTGGGCTTGTACTGTAACCCAAATTAGCCCTAAACCCTATAAGCCCTAAACTGCTGCCTCAAGTACATCAGCTCCCTTCTTCGTTTAAGGAATAACCCTACACCCCTAAACCCCTAAACCCTAAACCCCTAAAGCCCTAAACCCTTAAACCCCTAAACCCCTAAACCCCTAAACCCTTAAACCCTAAACCCTACAACGAGTCGCCCTCTTCTCTTTCTCCCTGCTCCCTTCTGGCGAAGCTTCTTGGAGCCCATATAAAACCGGCAGAAATTTATGAACACTTGCCGGTACTATTCTGCAGGGTTCCTTGATATATACTTATATATATATATGAATATACATATGTGCATAGTTAGCCTTTATACGGTCTCTTATATAAGCCAGGTCAAGAAGGGCAAGATTCTGACATCCAGACGATGCGAGCCGAGGATTCTTGTTTGCGCTCCCTTAGTGTGAAGTTTGCTTGCCGGATGCACTGAATGTAGGGCTTAGGAGAGTTGCGGCTTACTCATAGGCTCCAAATTATGTAGTTCCTTTGTAGGACTTAAAAAGTGACTATACTATGGAGCCTCTAGGTAGAGTGCAGAGTTTAGGGTTTAGCCCAAACAGCGCCCGATAGTCCAAACCTCTTCAGATCCCGTCGCTTGGACCTTTGTGAAGCCGAGCTGAATACGCTATGTTTTGGGGCTTCTACGCAACTATTTCCATAGGGAAAGATTCGGGGTCGGAAGGATGAGTAGTAGCATGCCTTCACGGCCTTATAGTTTCGAAAAAGTTTTGTTTGTAATATCAAGTAACGGGATGCCGCGGAAGGAGTACGAGCTCAGGGCGCAGGGTGCTCTAGGCGGAAGCTGTTGCGGAGACTTCTTCGAAGCATGCTTGATAATCGCTCCTGGAGACGGTAGGGCAGGGTTTAGAAGCCCGTGCTAGCCGCACTGTGGTCTTAGATGTCCATGCGACTTCCGCTTAGAAGGAAGGTCTGCAAACCTACAACCCCAAATCCAACGAAACCCAGAGTTGGACACCCTAAACCCTACATGATTCAAAGCCCTCAACTCCGGGGCGATGGGCACTTTGAGGCGTCTCCCAAACACTAAACTACTGGTGCCCGGTCCATGCAGCCCTAAGCCCGGCAGGGATGAGTTCCTGCATTTTGGGTGTTGTAGGGGTTTGGGGTTTTGAATTTTAATGAGGTCTTTGGGCTGTAGGATCATGCTTTGGGTGCTAACAAGGTCGAGGGTGTTGAATTTGAATGTTCCTGGACGTGACAGCCTTCCAGAAGCTCCACAGGCTCGCCTTCACTTCGACAGGACCCTTCTTCGAAGCTCTACCGTCCATGGCGGACCCGGACAGTGCTATCCTTGGGTGAGCTCGGATAGAGGCTTTCCGATCTCTTTGTATCAGACGACCCCCAACTGTAAAGAGCTCTCGACCCCGACGAACTACCTCCGGAGCCACACCCTGTACCCTAAACCCTGAACCCTAAACCCTAAACCCTGAACCCTAAACCCTAAATCCTAAACCCTAAAGCCTAAACCCTGAACCCTAAACCCTAAACCCTGAACCCTGAACCCTGAACCCTAAACCCTAAACCGTCTTGCGCATTGCCAACTGGCTCTGCCGGGGGCTGCCGGCCCAGAACGAGAGGATCGACGAGCTTATCCAGCACTTGAGCAGCTTCTGAGCCGCACAGCTAGGGTTTACGGGTTATAGGGTTTAGGGTTTATAGGGTTTAGGGTTTAGGGGTTTAGGGTTTAGGGTTTAGGTTGCGACATGATGGACAAAGGCTCCATGTACCCATATAGTAGGTACTTAGGTCTGAAGTAGCCATATAGGGACCGCTTTAAGGCCTAAGTACCTACTATATGGGTAGATGGGAGCCTTAGGGAATGATGGACTTAGCTCCAACTCCCCCACCCCCCCATTTCCGCCCCAAACCGAAGCCTTAGTCTTCGATGTCAACTCCGAGAGGAGGCCGTGGTAGAAGAGTTTGGCTCCTGGGAAGCTTATCTCGAAGCACAGAGGTACGCACCCAGCTTCCTGAGGAGTTTACAGAATTTGTCCCAGATTCCTGAGAGGCTTACAGAATTGCGGGATTCTCCTGTGGGCTCGATGGCTTACAACATGTTGCTTAACCTGTTTTGCGTGATATTGCCGGATTTGGATCTAACCCTAAACCCTAAACCGTGTTAGTTCCTCCTCCGAGCTGCTTCGAAAGAAACATCTGCACTTCGGACACGACTTCGAGCTCCCAGGGGTTTAGGGGTTTAGGGCCAAAGGGCCCATGTAACAATATAGTAAGCTCTTAGTAGATTTGCGGGACCCGAAAGTATATGCTATACTGTTACATTGGACTTTTTGGGTTTCTTTGTTCTTCTGCGTTTGGGGTGAGTGGAGCCATTGAGCGAATGAGGCAGGCCAGAGAGGCAGGTTGTGACCCGAATGCCCTGCATCCTGGAAATGAAGGTTGTATCCAACCCACGTCAATCCTAAGTCAAGCACTTGAATACCTGCGAAGTATTCTCGCCCATTGTCATCCGATGACGATTCTATGAATGCCGTTTCCGAGAGATCAGACCGTACTCCCTAGCCCCTAGACCATATCACTAAGCCAGAAAAACCTGAACCCGATACCAAAGAACCCATATATATATATACATATATATATGTATATATCTATGTATTATATATATACACGCTAAACCAGAAAACCCCAAACACTAAACCAACAAGAATCCCAAACCCTCCTATTACAACACGCTTTTTCTCTGTCACAGCTTCCCAAGTGGCAGGCCGAGCTCGTATGGCGAGTACGATGCCGAGGTGCCAGTTTCTGAGGGAATGGGGCTGGGTGCTAGTCCCCTTATACCCTAAACCCTAGTAGAAACCCTTTAAAGGAACGCTTAAAGGAACCTTCAAAGGAACCCTTGAAGGGTTTCTGGGGGAATTGGGGTTGAGGTGCTAGTCGTGCTAGTCCCCTTATGCCCTAAACCCTAATGGAACCCTTCTAAAAAAAGGAACCCTAAAAGGAACCCTTAAAAAAAAGGAACCCTTAAAGGAACCCTAAAAGGATCCTTTGAACGGAGCCAGGTTCGGATTGAGGCTTGAGTGTTTTCCCTAAGCCCCAAGAAGTTGGAAGCCGGATTAAGGACCAATACTGCCGTGATTCCCGAAGCATTACTCTAAGGATTGATTGAGGCTTTTGGGTTTCCAACTCTTGGGTCCTACTGTAGAGTAGCGGGGTGGGCTGGGGTCGTGCAGATCTCAGCATTGGGCATCCGGCTTTCGGATTGCGAATTTCGCCGAATGTACGCTATGTGTCCAGCTTCTACGCTGGGGCGCCGATTACCCAACCTTACTCCGGTGTTTATAATCAGTGGGTGTATTACTCCCCTACTCTAGGCTATGACTACAGTCCTCCTGGTTGTCCTACTTATAAAGCCAGCTCATAACTCCCGTGAACCTCCAAGTAAACCGCTCCAAACCTAGAGTTATCGCAGCCCTTATAGAGCCCTTATATAACCCTATTTGGGCGCATGGACCCCTGGGGTAATCCCCTTATACCCTAATCCCTTAAAGACCCCGTGTAGAACCCTTATAAGAAACCTTAGAGGAACCCTACTTGCCTCTACCCTATAAACCTTAAACCCTAAACCCTAAACATAGAGCTCAATTCCCAAGGCTTAATTAAACCCTAAACCTTAAACTTTAAACCCTTATAAACCTTAAACCACCTAAGCCCGAAAAGCCTCTACCCGAAAGCGTGGCAGGACTTCGAGGGGGCTCTGGAGGACCTTCTGTACCCGCACGCGGAGGAAGACGTTGAGGAGGCCACTTGAAGAGTTCAGAGACCCTGCCCCGATCCCTATAAACCCCAATCCCTACCTTAACCCCAAATAACCTACCTTTTCAGGGACTTATATAAAGAAATCATATTAGAGGGCCCTAAAAAGGTAGGTTCCTTAGGGCCCAGGTTAGCCCTAGAAGCTCTTAAAAGGGTTTTAAGCTCCCTGGGGTTGCAGGGAGCACTTAAGTTTAGGAGTTGCTTGGTTTATGTGAGGGTTTATATGAAGAGTTTGCCCTGCTGTTCTTTTTAGACACCACTTGGCAGTTGCATTCGCGAAGCCTGACTTGTTTATCATCTCTTTGCTTGTTTTCGTGTGGCAGTCTGTGAGTCACGCTTTGCTGTAGCCTTGGGCTTAACACGTCGAAGAGCCTGGGTCCAAGAATCCTACGGCTGATGATCTACATCCTGCATTACCCATAATGAGGGTTACACCATAACTCCCATAGTTTGGGACCATTAAGGTATTGCAGGGTTTATATCATCAACAGTATGTTGCTGATTCTCTTGCTACCCCAATCCAGGAGCCCTTTGCAGATCCAGTTTGGGGTTGGTTGTGGAACCAACGTGTAAGGGTTTGGGGCTAAGGGCTCAGGGTTTAGGGCAGACCGGGAGTGCCGTAAGAACTCCAGAATAGACCTTGGATTGCAGCACCTCGGTTTCATGTTGTTTGAGAGGGGGGGGGGGGGGTACAGCAACCCAACTATGGTTGGGGTCTTGGAAGAAATATTACAGTCGCAACCTCTAAACCCCAAACCCTAACCCTCAAACCCAAAACAACTCCGAACCCCTAAAGCAAGACCTAAACACCCACCCCGCCCCTCCCCCTAAAAACATAAAATCCCTGAACCCCACATCCCCTCAGCCCTAAACCCTATACCCCAAACCGTGACCCTTAAGCCTTAAACCCCTAAACCCTACCCCCTCAGCCCTAAACCCTAACCCTATTAATTCAGCCCTTAAATCCCTAACCCCTCAGCCCTAAACTTTAGCTCGGTGCCTTGCTTAGTAACTAGTTGTTATATAGACTTATAAGTACCTAAATAGGGACCCGAATTGGGCTTATGGCACCTATAGCTCTATAATATAACTACTTACTAAGTCCCCCGACCCTCCAAGTAGGGAACCAAAACCCTATATAAACCCTAAACCCTAAACCCTTATAGATCCCTTTAAAGGAACCCTTAACCCCTTTAGAAGCAAAGGAGGACGACTGGTCTGAGGGGAACTTTGGCGAATGGGAGGACGCAGGGGCCGGTGAGAAAGAAAGGCAGTCGAGGGTTTTAGGGTCTAGGGTTTAGGGTCATAGGGTATAGGGTTTTTAGGGTCTAGGGTTTAGGGTCATAGGGTTTAGGGGTTAGGGGTTAGGGTCATAGGGTTTAGGGTGATAAGGGTTTAGGGGTTAGGGTTTAGGGTCATAAGGGTTTAGGGGTTAGGGTTTTAGGGTGTAGGGTTTTAGGGTCATAGGGTTTAGGGGTTAGGGTTTAGGGTCATAGGGTTTAGGGGTTAGGGTTTAGGGTCATAGGGTTTAGGGGTTAGGGTTTAGGGTTATAGGGTTTAGGGGTTAGGGTTTAGGGTTATAGGGTTTAGGGCTTTGGGTTTAGGGTTTGGGGTTTGGGTTTTGGGTTTGGGGCTTAAGGCTTAGGGCTTTGGGTTTAGGGTTATAGGGTTTTGGGTTTAGGGCCTAGGGCTTCGGGTTTAGGGTTTAGGGTTTAGTGTTTGGGGATAGGGTTTAGGGTCTTGGGTTTAGGGTATAGGGTTTAGGGTTATAGGGTTTAGGGTTTTAGGGCTTAGGGTTTAGGTTTAGGGCTAGTGAAAAAAGCTTGAAGGCGATTTTGGGGTTGAAGAGGTTGTGGCTTTGTCATTTAGGGATTCTGGGACTTGGGTTTTGAAGCTAGGCTTCAGTCTTTGTGTTTATGGAGTTCCGTTAATCATAGCCGGCCCTTCGCATTCTGGATGGATTTCCGTTCTCCTACGTTTCATCGTTCTGGATGGGCTCCTAATATTCAGCTATGTTACCAAAAGGTTCTGCATTGGCCGCATGTTGATTTTCAGAGTGCTTGATGGATTCGGTGTTATTGCTGCGGAATTTCAGGACTCAAATCATGAGACATGGGGCCATTTCTGGATGAACATGACATCATTTCAGAATCGCACACTTGTTGAATTGAAATTGTGGCCTGGGTTTTCTTTCGAGCTAGATCGGTGTGCCGTTGGCTTTTGGGCGACATGGCTGCCAAGAAGAGGATCAACCGGCAGCTTGGTTGAATTGTGGAAAGCCGATATTCATAGATAGCTGGTGTCTAGGGAACATGATAAACAAGGGTCTAGATGCTATAATTACTACTCAAATGATGATGATGATGAGGCTCGCGGTCTAACCGCAGCCCAATTGAAATGATTCCAAGGGAGAGAGAGAAATGAGATGAGAGTGATGAGTCACATGAGCCAATGATTCAATGATATGGCTCAATGATGACACGGTGCGGGCGAGCCGCCTGTGGTCAATGATCATGACAGATATGACACGCCATCCCATGAACGATGATCAAGCGGATGGCTCTAGTATGATTAGAAAAGAAAGCCTATGATTGAGCGATTCAGTTGAGAGGGGACTGAGTTGAGGAAACCCGATGTAACGGTTCAAGGGGTAGTTGGGGCAACGAATCATAGATCGCACTGCAATCATGATGCCATTGTATGACAACACAATCAAATGATTCCGAATGAACATAGATATAGACGACGATTGCCAGGGCGATGTCTTCGAAGTCCGTGGGCGCCGACAGTGCTGCCGACTCAGCGAGCCCGCCGTCGGCACAGCACTTCATGATCTCGACGGCCGCTGCCAAGCTGAGCGAGGCTTTCTCAGGACATGTGGATGGTTGCAATGATGCGACAGACATGGACACACATGCTCATGAAGTGCAGTCTATGTTCGAATCACCCCCCTCCATGTTTGCAAACCCGAAAGGAGGAGATGACAAGAAGAAGAAGGAGAAGAACAAGAAGAAGAAAAGTCGCATCTCGATCTGCATGTGGCTTTGAATATGCGAGAGTGATATAAGCCTGCATCTGCTGCTTCGCCGAGGCAAGAGCAGCTCGACATCCCCGTCGGAGGAGAGTGGCGAGGCTCCGGAGGTGGACGTGGCTGCGGCTGTGGGCCTGCCGTCCAAGGAGTTCGCGAGGAGCTCAAAGCAGAGCTGCTTGGAGGACCTTTCGGTCCGTCAGCTGGCATGTGCCCTTTCGGGGGTTTATGCCTTTATGCTGCCGTCCGACATGATGGAAATCGGGGGTTCCTATGAGTCTTGGCAGCGGTTATTTGTTTATAGGGAAGGTTAAAGAGTGAGGTGAGGGAATGAGAGGAGTGAGTGAATGACAAAATGATTGAGTGAATGAACGAGCAACTCATTGAGTGAATGAATGAGCAAATGATGGAGTGAATGAGTGAGCGAATGCATGAAAGAATGAGCATATGAAAGCATGAGTGCAGGAGTGAATGAATGAGCGAGCAAGCAGAGCTCTTGCTTTCATGACACACCCAAATCCCTGCTGCTTTGGTCCGGTTCAGAGGTTATTGCTACTGGTTGAGGCATTTCTGAAGGGCTACTACTTAGGATTGCGGTTGGGCAGTTTCGGGTCATCAAATATGATTTGGTCCTTAACAGTAACATACTATTGATGTACGATTGCAACTTATTTGCTTGCGAAATGGCAATGATCGAGTCAAGTGCTTGCATTAAGATTGTTGGGATAGTGTGTGCAGTGTAGACAAATTCAGATTCCCACTAATAATACTGAATAGAAACCGACATGACCATAATTAACATGCTGACAAACCCACTGACAACGGCAACAACAGCGACCTCCTGGCTGCTGATATCATTGCCGCCACCACCACCACCACCACCACCACCACCACTGCTTGAATTATTGATATGACAGTACTATCGCTGATACTGCTCCTGCTGCTACTGCCCCTGTAGCAAAGGCGACGACTACCACCACAAACTCACTCAAATTACTACTGCCACAGCTACAGCTACTGCTGCGGCTCCTACGGCTGCTACTACTACTGCTAGTGGGGCCACTACCTGCTGCTGCTGCCACTGCTACTGCTACTACTTACTACTACTTCTACTACAACAACTACTACTACTACTACTACTACTACTACTATCACTACTACTACCACTACTACTGCTTGAATCTGATGAAAGAACTGCTCTCCGAGGAGGGGCTGCTTCAGGACTCCCTTCGAATGGTTAAGAAGCAGAAGGACAAGAGCTCGGAGAACAACAAGGCTGAGAAGGTGAGGGCGGTGGGGGGTGGGGATGGGGCCTGTCTTGGACTCTTACTGTACGTTCCATTGCTGGTCTTCCAATTGTCGCTTCCCGCAATCTCATGCCAGGTTCGTGCAGCAGGGAATGTCTGGAGGACGAGGTTGAATTCCGTGGTGAAGTTGGGCACCGAAGCTGCAATGGGCGGTTGACAGTTGAGTCTCGAGAAACCGAGTTGTGCACGCATGAGTGTTTGCCCATTTGCTGCATTGATTTGATTGCACCATGACAATGACTAAGTGACGGGGAAATCCAGCAATGCGATTCTCGTCTCCAACACGAAGACGGTGGATGACATCAGGGCCCTTCTGCAGTCCTTGGCCGCCAAGCACCGGAAGAGCCTCGGATTGCAAGTTTCAGCTGTGACTCATTGAAGTGTGAATTCACGATGAACAATTGAGGCAGCAGGGGCAAAAGATGATGGCCGTGAACGAAGACTACGACCGGCTCATCGAGAAGCTGGCCAAGGACTCCCGCTTGTGTGCGAATGTTGGTGCGAGTTCTGTCTGTGCGAGCATGGTGTCGCATCACTTGAGCAACAGCATAGACTGCAGACAATTTTGGCCTGAGCCTCCTTTTGAGTTCCCCTTAGCTCTTCCTGGGGACTTCCGTCTTGCAAGCCATGGCGGACAGCAGCAACATGGATCAGGTCGAGGAAGCCATGGCAGGCATGCTGGACCGCATCGAGTCCCTGATCCGGCAGGACGACGTCGCTCTCAGCAATGCCTGGAAGAAGCGAAAGAGGGATCTCGATGAGAGGGAGGAGGCGGTGGCTGCCCGGGAGGCCGATGTTCTCCGAAGGGAGAGGGCCGTGGCTGAGCGAGAAGGTGCCCTTCAAAGGAGCAGCCAGAAGGCGATGTGCCCGCACTGCAATGTCAACCGTTGCACGAGGGCTGGGCCGTGCTTCAATGAGAGTGGGCAGGACCTGCATCCGCACAGCTGCTTGGAGTGCCACCAGGCCAGGAGGAGAGCTGCTGGTGGCAAGGGCGGCTCTCGCGGTGGAGATCGCTGAGGATGTGGAGGCGATGCAACACCGACGCCGGATTTTGTGTATGAGGGTGAAAAAAATCCCTGAGGGTTTGTGCGAGAGCAGCAGTGTGCAGCATGGGTTGTTCGTTCAGTTGTGCTGCATGCTGTGTGTCCTGAGCTGAACATGACATGGCACTGGCATCGGTTGGCGAAGCTTTCATGAGCTTTTGTTTCATGCTCCTCGGGTGTTCCTCTCGAGACCTTTTGCACTTTTGGGTGGAGGGACCCTTTTGGTGCCATGTCGCACGGTGGTATGGAGCCCGTGGCCGGCGATACCAATGCCATCCTGGCCCACTGCTTCTCGCTGCTGTCAACCCTCATGGCACAGCAGCAGCTGCAGAATGCGGGCACGCCGGGCGGCGAGGCACAGGCATCGCCATCGCCTCATACAAAGGCGGCAGCTCCACCTCCGCCGGCTCATGATGATGAAGATGAAAAGAAGAAGGAGCCCGAGGCGAGCATGAAGTTGAAGGAGGAGCCCGGCCCGAAGGAGACGAAGACGCCTTCGGAGGCTTCAAGGCCCACGGCAGCACCGAAGCCGAAAGTGCCGCCGAAGCCAAAGCAGGACGAGACGCCGGCGAAGTCAAAGCTGGACGAGGCGCCGGCCCCGCCGAAACCGGCAGTCCGCAAAGTTGGAGTCTTCAGGCTGGACCATGGCACCCTGGAGATCTTCGGCCGCTTCTTTCCGGATGAGCCAACGAACCCTCGACCGATGCCTGGCCCCGGGAGCTGCCAAATGAGGGATGCTGCAAGTGGCTCGGCGGTTCCCAAGACTCCGCCGATGCCGCCGTCGCATGTCCTTCATGCAAGGGCCAAGGCTCGGGCCAAAGATGAGACTCCAAAGGAGGCACAGGAGGAGTCCTATGATGATGATCAAGATGCCGAGCCGCAACTTGGTGCTGATTAGTTTGCTGTTGTGTGCGGTCTTCATTCATTCATGTTTGGAGTGCATACTTCTGTAGTCTTTGCTGGTGGAGCACCCAGGCCTCTGAAAAGGCAGAAGGAAAAGGAAGCTGTTCTAGCCAGCCGGCACCGTGGCAGTGGTGGTGGTGGGGGCGGTCGCCGCAGCTCCGATGACAAGCACCATGGCCGCCCGAGGAAGTGATGTGTAAATAGTGTGGCAACGGGCCAAAGGCCGGGAATTGCTGTGCCTGGAATGGCTGGCTGTCTGCAGATCCTTGTGCGACAGAGCAAAAGGTGATGCTGCCCGAGAGCATACGGAGTTATGTCATGTCGTTTCTGAGCTCATGTGCACTGCCTCTGTTGTGTTTTGACATCGGTTGAATAAGTGTTGCTTGATTGCAGGAGAGCCAGAAGAACATGGAGGAGATGGCGGAGAAGACCCCGCAGAAGCCCTCCAAGCACCCTGACAGCAAGGCTAAGGGCGGCACCCCGAGGCGCAAACGAGGCAAATGCACCCCTTCCGTGAAGCGACAGCTGGACTTTGACACCCCCAGCACCACGAAGAAGCCCAAAAAGGCGAAGCGGGAGCCTCCGGCCACACCATGTGAGAGTGCGAAAAATGATGATTTGTCGGAAGTCGACAGTGATGATGATGATGACGATGACCTCTTCAAGGGCAAGTTTGGTAGAGTGGCTCCACACAAAGCCACCAAAGCCAAAAAGGCCAAGGCGGAGCAGGCGGAGGAGGAGAAGGGCGAGAGTGGCGACGAGGGCGACACCCCGCTCGTCAAGGAGCACAGCAAGGAGAAGCCTGATGATGATGAGAAGCTCGACAAGGAGCCCGAGGAGCAGACCGTCCCTCCCATCGATGATTTGCTTTTGGCTTTGCTCCCTGCCAGCCAGTCTAAGCTTCTCGGTTTCATTCATTCGAAACTGACAGTTGCAGCCAGCAAGAAGCTAAGCATTGAGGTTCCTTTCGATGGGTCAGAACTAAGGTGCGATGTTGCCCACTTCGCTGCGATCCTGCAGTCCGAGGACATTTTGACCCTGGACGATGCTGTGGATGCCCTCAGCGACTTGACAGGCCCCTCGGCTAATTCTTCGTGTCGTTTGTGTCCTCGCCTGCTGAGAGGCGACTGGACACGGCAGCTCGGCGAAACCGCTCGTCTGGCTGCAGACTCCCTGACGTTGAAGGGCAAACGAGCCCTGATGCAGTGGCCTCGTGTGCTGAAGGATGTAGCAGTCTTGAGCGCTTTTGTTGTTTCGTTAGCAACATACGAAGCTTTGGATTTGGCAGGAGCATGCAGCCAGAGTCGAAGCCGGGGAGTCGCAGGAGAACGACCGGGATTCCCAATCGTATGGTTCATCAAAGATGTTCTTCAGATACCGTCTCATAGATCATGACTCCCACGGGCTTTGAGCACACGGCGATGGTTGCATGATGAGTCCTGGTTTTAAATGACTTGAATGATTGCTTGCATTTGTGTTGCAGTGTGATGATACAGTTAAAGCTCAGATCATGTCATAGACCACCCTCAGGAGTGAAGTCCAGCTCAATGGGCCGCTGCCACCAAGCAAGGTTTTGGTACGATGAGTCGCAGGACTTTCGCAGAGGGTTTTGGTTAGCATGCTCTGTCAGGAAACGTGTGCTCGCAGACATTGACAGACCCAGTCTTAATGTCATGAACCACCCCACAGGACGGAACTGCAGCTCATGGACTTGAGCACGATGTGGCGAGGTTTTGGCATGAAGAGCCCCAGGCACCGGAACACGCCAGGGTATGCTTAAAAATGACATGCCTCTGCAATGTGCCTCCTCTCTTTTTGATGTGGTGGCGAAATCGCACAGCAAGCTTGACTACTTTGGTATGTCAGGGAAGCACAAACCTCCGAGCAAACTGCAGCCATGGGCGGCTTCCAGTGTCTGACTGCTTTCATGATTGAGTGACTCTCTAGTCTAGGTTCAGCAAACTTTGAGCCACGACGAGGTTTCTTTGTAGACCCAACACAGTGCAGAAATCCTTATCACTTATTTGCAATCTCAAATCCTTGAGATTCAGCAAGCACAGAGGAAGCACGCCTTTAGGCTCGCTTTGTTGACACAGCCTGCTGGTCCCATCCCCAGGCCAGGCCGCCATGCTGTTCAGCGACATACTGATGCTGGTACGTTCGTCCGTCCAATCATAACTGACGTGTAAAGTAGACATTCAGACATCATTGCTTGCAGCTTCTTGCCATTGTCATAGACGTTTTCCCTGGGTGCTTGGTACAGACAACAAACATTTATATAAGGAAAATTTACAGTAAGCGAGCCCGGCCCTGGCCGGAAACGTCGTTTCTGTTTGGATATGAGTTTGAGTCGAAATGAAGTATATACAGGATTCTTCAAACCGGGCTGGGGGGTGTGTTCCCAGGCATAAACAAAAGCTTTGCAAAGCCAGCTGTCAAAGCTACCGCAGAATCGACTGGCATCGTGACAGTAGGTTATGGGCTTGGGCTGCGAATGGAAGCCACCGCATTTCGAAACCGGAGGCGAACGGGAGATTTCTCAGAGTCTGCCAGAGAACTTTAATTGGTATTGGGCGAGTTCTCAGACTCTGCGAAAAAAGCAGAATCGGCGAATGGGAATTGTCTTCAGAGGCTGCCGACAGAGAACTATGTGGTCACTGGGCCAATTCTCAAACTCTGGGAAGGGAGTAGAATAGGCGAGTGGGAGTTTCCACAGAGTCTGCCGACAGAGAACATTATATGTCATTGGGCAAGTTCTGAAATCCGGCAAAAGAGCAAAATAAGCGAGTGCGAGATTTCTCAGAGTTTGCCGACAGAGGGCAATGTTGCCATTGGGCGAGTTCTCAGACTTTGTGAAGAGAGCACAAACTGTCAATGGGAGTTTTCGACAGAGGGCAATGTGGTCATTGGGGGAGTTCTCAGAATCTGGGAAGAGAGCAGAATCGGCGACTGGGAGTTTTCTCAGAGACTGCCGACAGACACTCATGTGGTCATTGGGCGAATTCTCAGACTCTGCGAAGACAGCAGAATCGGCGATTGGGAGTTTTCTCAGAGTCTGGCGACAGCGGGCAATGTTGTCATTGGGCGAGTTCTCAGACTCTGGGAAGAGAGCACAATCGGCGACTGGGAGTTTTCTCAGAGTCTGCCGACAGAGAACTATGTGGCCATTGTGCGAGTTCTCAGACTCTGGGAAGAGACCAAAATGGGTGAATGGGAGTTTTCTCAGAGTCTGCCGACAGAGGACTATGTGGTCATTGGGCGAGTTCTCAAACTCTGCGAAGAGAGTAGAATATGCGAGTGGGAGGCTGGCAGAGAACTATGTGGTCATTGGGCGAGTTCTCAGACTCTGCGAAGAGAGCAGAATCGGCGACTGGGAGATTTCTCAGAGGCTGCCGACAGACACTCATGTGGTCATTGGGCGAATTCTCAGACTCTGCGAAGAGAGTAGAATCGGCGAATGGGAGCTTTCTCAGAGTCTGCCGACAGAGAGCTATGTGGTCATGGGGCGAGTTCTCAGGCTCTGGGAAGATCGAGAGCACAATCGGCGACTGGGAGTTTGCTCAGAGTCTGCCGACAGAGAACTATATGGTCATTGGGCGAGTTCTCAAACTCTGCGAAGAAAGCAGAAAAAGGGTGACTGGGAGTTTTCCCAGAATCTGCCGACAGAGGACTATGTGGTCATTGGGCGAGTTCTCAGACTATGGGAAGAGAGCAGAATCGGCGACTGGGAGATTTCTCAGTGGCTGCCGACAGACACTCATGTGGTCATTGGGCGAATTCTCAGACTCCGCGAAGAGAGCAGAATCGGCGAATGGTAGTTTCCCCAGAGTCTGGCGACAGAGAGCTATGTGGTCATTGGGCGAGTTCTCAGACTCTGGGAAGAGAGCAGAATCGGCGACTGGGAGTTTTCTCAGAGTCTGGCGACAGAGAACTATGTGGTCATTGGGCGAGTTCTCAGACTCTGCGAAGAGAGCAGAATCGGCGACTGGGAGATTTCTCAGAGGCTGCCGACAGAGGGCAATGTTGTCATTGGGGGAGTTGTCAGACTCTGGGAAGAGAGCACAATCGGCGACTGGGAGTTTTCTCAGAGTCTGGCGACAGAGAACTGTGTGGTCATTGGGCGAGTTCTCAGACTCTGGGAAGAGAGCACAATCGGCGACTGGGAGTTTTCTCAGAGTCTGCCGAGAAAGAACTATGTGGTCATTGGGCCAATTCTCAAACTCTGGGAAGAGAGCACAATCGGCGACTGGGAGTTTGCTCAGAGTCTGCCGACAGAGAACTATATGGTCATTGGGCGAGTTCTCAAACTCTGGGAAGAGAGCAGAAAATGGGTGACTGGGAGTTTTCCCAGAATCTGCCGACAGAGGGCAATGTTGCTATTGGGGGAGTTCTCAGACTCTGTGAAGACAGCAGAATCGGCGAATGGGAGCTTTCTCAGAGTCTGCCGACAGAGGGCAATGCTGTCATTGGGGGAGTTCTCAGACTCTGGGAAGAGAGCACAATCGGCGACTGGGAGTTTTCTCAGAGTCTGCCGACAGAGAACAATGTGGTCATTGGGCGAGTTCTCAGATTCTCAGACTCTGGGAAGAGAGCACAATCGGCGACTGGGCGATTTCTCAGAGGCTGCCGGCAGACACTCATGTTGTCATTGGGCGAATTCTCAGACTCTGGGAAGAGACTAGAATAGGCGAGTGGGAGTTTTCTCAGGGTCTGCCAACACGAGGCAATGTTGTCATTAGAAGAAATCTCAGACTCTGGGAAGAGAGCACAATCGGCGACTGGGAGTTTTCTGAGAGTCTGGCGGCAGACACTCATGTGGTCATTGGGCGAATTCTCAGACTCTGCGAAGACAGCAGAATCGGCGACTGGGAGTTTTCTCAGAGTCTGCCGACAGAGAACTATGTGGTCATTGGGCGAGTTCTCAGACTCTGGGAAGAGAGCAGAATCGGCGAATCGGAGTTTTCTCAGAGTCTGGCGACAGAGAACTGTGTGGTCATTGGGCGAGTTCTCAGACTCTGGGAAGAGAGCACAATCGGCGACTGGGAGTATTCTCAGAGTCTGCCAACAGAGAACGATGTGGTCATTGGGCGAATTCTCAGACTCTGCGAAGAGAGTAGAATCGGCGAATGGGAGTTTTCTCAGAGTCTGCCGACAGAGGGCAATGCTGTCATTGGGCGAGTTCTCAGGCTCTGGGAAGAGAGCACAATCGGCGACTGGGAGTTTGCTCAGAGTCTGCCGACAGAGGACTATGTGGTCATTGGGCGAATTCTCAGACTCTGCGAAGAGAGCCGAATCGGCGAATGGAAGTTCGGAGTTGTCTCAGAGTCTGCCGACAGCGAACTATGTGGTCATTGAGCGAGTTCTTAGACTCTGTGAAGAGAGCACAATCGGTGATTGGGAGTTTTCTCAGAGTCTGCCGACAGAGGGCAATGTTGTCATTGGGGGAGTTGTCAGACTCTGTGAAGACAGCACAATCGGCGAATGGGAGTTTTCTCAGAGTTGGCGACAGAGAACTGTGTGGTCATTGGGCGAGTTCTCAGACTCTGGGAAGAGAGCAGAATCGGCGAATCGGAGTTTTCTCAGAGTCTGGCGACAGAGAACTGTGTGGTCATTGGGCGAGTTCTCAGACTCTGGGAAGAGAGCAGAATCGGCGAATCGGAGTTTTCTCAGAGTCTGGCGACAGAGAACTGTGTGGTCATTGGGCGAGTTCTCAGACTCTGGGAAGAGAGCACAATCGGCGACTGGGAGTATTCTCAGAGTCTGCCAACAGAGAACGATGTGGTCATTGGGCGAATTCTCAGACTCTGCGAAGAGAGTAGAATCGGCGAATGGGAGTTTTCTCAGAGTCTGCCGACAGAGGGCAATGCTGTCATTGGGCGAGTTCTCAGGCTCTGGGAAGAGAGCACAATCGGCGACTGGGAGTTTGCTCAGAGTCTGCCAACAGAGGACTATGTTGTCTTTGGGCTATGTTGTCTTTGGGCGAGTACTCTGGGAAGATAGCACAATCGGCGACTTCACCAGGAATGGCACTGGCTTGTGCCAGGAGTATACTGGCTCGAACCAGGAGTAGCACTGGCTAGTACCAGGAGTAGTACTGGCTAGTACAGGAGTAGTACTGGCTAGTGCCAGGAGTAGTACTGGCTAGTACAGGAGTAGTACTGGCTAGTACTAGCAGTAGTACTGGGCTTGTACCAGGAGTAGTACTGGCTAGTACCAACAGTAGTACTGGTTAGTACCAGGAGTAGTACTGGCTAGTACCAGGAGTAGTACTGGCTGGTACCAGGAGTAGTACTGGCTAGTACCAGGAGTAGTACTGGCTAGTACCAGGAGTAGTACTGGCTAGTACCAACAGTAGTACTGGTTAGTACCAGGAGTAGTACTGGCTAGTACCAACAGTAGTACTGGGCTAGTACCAGGAGTAGTACTGGCTAGTACCAGGAGTAGTACTGGCTGGTACCAGGAGTAGTACTGGCTAGTACCAGGAGTAGTACTGGGCTAGTACCAGGAGTAGTACTGGCTAGTACCAGGAGTAGTACTGGCTAGTACCAGGAGTAGTACTGGTTAGTACCAACAGTAGTACTGGGCTAGTACCAACAGTAGTACTGGTTAGTACCAGGAGTAGTACTGGCTAGTACCAGGAGTAGTACTGGGCTAGTACCAGGAGTAGTACTGGCTAGTACCAGGAGTAGTACTGGGCTAGTACCGGCAATATCTTCCTTGCCCAATCGATCATTTGTAAAGAGGAAGGCTGGGGCGGCGGCCGATGTGCAATTGACCGTGCTGGATGGTTGGACCGGTGTGCGAGTGCCGCTGTGCGTGCTGGATGGGCCGGCACGTGCACGCAACGTGCCGGCAGCACACCCACTCATCCAGCACGATTACGCGCCAAACTGCCTAAACTCTGAATTATTGAGAAGCCCCAGGGAAAACGTGCGATTAACGCGTGCTGGATGGAATTCGTTCTCGTCTTTTCAACGTGCTGGATGGGCAGGTGAGCTGCGGGCACGTGCACGCACGGTGCCGGCTGTTGCCTGCTCATCCACACAGCCCGATCCATCCAGAACTGTTAAGTGCAGCCCGAACCTTCCACCCGAATCATCCAGCACTGTTACGTGCAGGTGGCATGGAGACATGGCTGAAAGCTCGCATAGATGACGCGAGGAGGCGGGCGGCCTTAACCGTGCTGGATGGCTTAACCGTGCTGGATGGATACCGGTCTATAGACTTGCCAGATACCACGCACAAAGTATAGCATTTGAAGAGCAGCTGCGGTAGACAAAGCTCTGTAGTTCCGACCCATTTTTTGTCTTGCAGGCTCGAAGACCCAGAGGAGAAGCAGCTCTTCCTCAGCCGCTTCCTGCTTAAGATCGAGATCTTGGACCGCAAGATCCGACAGGGCGAGACGGCAGAGTCTGATGCTCTAGCTTTGTTGCCTGGCCCGGACTGGGAGGCTTGGACTTTCGTTGCACCTCAATCAATAGTCCAGCAGTCATACTATTGCATGAGAGCTTCGCAACACCCATGCCTCTGGAGGCCGTGGTTGCAGCAAACCGTGCAGATGCTACGGCTGCTGGACTAGTGCTCCGGCCCGTGGTGTTCCCGCCGGCTGCACAGATGGTCCCCGACTCTCCAAACAGGGATGACGCTGAAGCTTCCAGTCCGCCTGAGACGGAGACGGAGAAAAAAGCGGTGGTGCTTTCAAGCTACACCCCGGCCACCACGCTCTTCCTGCAGACCAAAGGTAAACGTGCAGGTGTGCTTTGTGTTCACCGTGCTACTTGGATCAAAGTCTAGACATACATTTGGATGAGTGCTTGTCACTGCCTGCAATGTTCGGCAATGACATGATGTGTCGCCGCCTCTGCAGGTGGAAGGCACAAGTGTGGAAGGCTACGAGCATTTGTTCCGCATCGCGGAGGTGTGGCCTTTGCTGTCCCGCAAACAGCAGTTCACAAACTGGTTCACGAAGTTGCTCCTTGGTAGCTTAGACGATGAAATTACTCCTTGCACGAGAACGCATGCTCCCTCGACCCTCGATGATTTGTGCCGGCGACCCAAGGAAAGAGACGATGATGGCCAGGCTTTCTCGGAAGTGGTCCGTTGACTGCGACCTCCACATCCCCAGAAAGTTGGGGTACAAAGGTAAGCAGCTCTCAGCAGGTGCAGGGAAGCTGCGGCTGTCTTTCGATGGGGTCACGCTGCCGGGCCTCTACTTCATGGCTACCCAGTTGCAGTGGTCACGTGCCTTTGCATTGAATTGACTCCGATCCGATGACTGATGATAGAAGCATTAACAGAACTCAGGTTGCCTCAGCTCTCCAGGTCAAGGGCTGCAAGAAGACTTTGAAGGACGGCTGCCTATCCGGCTTCGATCTTCTGATCAGTACCTGCTGCAAGCCCGATGAGAGCTTCGAGCTGCTACCAAATGAGCCTGACTGCACCAGGGAAGCATGATCAGTCCGTCTGTTGCCAGAGTAAGTTGTATTTTGCAATTTGCTCCTGAGCGAGGCACTTTGCGATGTCTTGCTTTCGACTTGGATTTGGCGGCATGGGAGAGATGCTTGAAATTCCTCGGCATCCAATCTAGGTCGCTCGGACTCGTTTTGCCTGTTGATTTTGCAGTCTTTGCCACGCTCAGATTCCTTGCAGGTGGGAGAGGTGCTCCATGCTCTCGCATGCTCAGCAGAAACTGCAAGCAGGCCTTGCATAACCCAAAATACTTTTTCCACGAACAACAGTCCCCAGGTGTGCCACTGTCGGCTGCTTCGTGGTTCCTGATGAGATTGCCTTTCGAAGACGTTGTGTGCGAGGCCAGCGATCGGGATGGTTCTGCTTCAGCCGTGTTGTTGCTTCCAAGATTTTTCCACTCATGCCTTTATGCCTTGCTGCCAGGGCACAGTCAAGGTGTCCAGACTTCAACGAAGACTGCTTCACTTGCTCTCCCAGTCTGGCGAGAATCACTTGGGCAATAGCCTCCAGACAATGATCCCGAAGCCATCGGCGAGAGATGAGTTCCACCCGGCACGTGTGCGGCTGGTTTGAAGCTATCAATTCAGTAGTCGGTTGAAGTTGTGCTCTGATGGATGAAGACTTCGGACCAAGTGAAGTGGGATTTCATTTGCGGTCATCTAAGGGATGGCAGAAAGGTGAAACGGGAGGCCAAGGTCAAGCACGCCATGGCCATGGAACGTTTCCTTGCTCGTGCCTCCGGCTTCGTGAACAAAACCGATGCGACGCTCGATGAGCTGGACTTGGGATGGCTGGCCCCCTCGCACTCACACAGGCCGGACATAAGCTGCAACACACATGGTCAGGTTAGTGTATTTGTCTTATGGAGTGCCGAAGCTTAGGCTCGCATCCGACTTGGCTTTCAGATATCTGCGATTGGCCGGCACCAGCATAACGAAGGCTCCGGAGAGTAGTTGTTTCGGTTGCTGCCGTGAATGTATGTGCCAGTGTCTCACGCTTTTGGTCGCTCGCTCTCTCTCTCTCTCTCTCTCTCTGTCTCTCTGTCTCTCTCTCTCTCTCTCTCTCTCTCTCTCTCTCTGTCTCTCTCTCTCTCTCTCTGTCTCTCTCTCTCTCTCTCTCTCTCTCCCCTCTCTCCCTCTGTCTGTCCCTATCACTCTGGTTTAGTCAGGACTCTGCACAAATATCGCCGGCTACTGTTGCTTGCTGGCCCTGCTGAATCTTTGGATACAAGCTTCATTCACTCCGAAACAAATTTTCCGACTTGCTGCCGAGGGCAAAATGTGTGTCATGTTCACTCACTTCTCTCTGTCTCCTCCTGCTCCGATTTCGTCACTCGAAGTGTCGCTGATGCTGATTCACGGCCTATGAGACGTACTTTTTTGAAATTTTCAGTCGCTGACTAATTATATCATGCTATTTCGATCGCATCATCTCTGGCTCTGTGTCTTTTTCACAAAGCAGTGAGCCCGTATCTGGTACACCTCATATTCGCTATTCGCTGGGCACCAGACCTTAAATTTGCATGCTTTCTCAGAAGCACCGGGCAGGAGCTGAACCAGCAGACGTACCGCAGCCTCAGCTTCCTGTGCGACGCTTCGCCGAAAGCCTTTAAGGAGGAGACTCGGTTGAGTTACTGACTTGTTTCATGACATGATGAGCAACCATCCAAGTTTGCTTCGAGAGTATCTGCGAAACCGAGTTGTGGTGTCCCATCGTCGCAACAAGCGACCTGGCTGTGCCGTGGGTGGTCCAGCGCCTGAGCGACCTCCTGGCCACAACCGCCGAGACGAGCTCGAAGCTCGAAGCAGCACAGGAGCTTGCAGATGGCCTGGCCGGCAAAATGGTTGATGACAGCCGTGCCCGAGCGAAGCAGCTTCTCGGTAAAACCAAGCATGTACGTGGATTTTGCACAGGGCGAAGCACCTGCAACAACTGAGGCCAAAGAGCCTCTCCAGAATACAGCAGGCACGCTTGGCGACTCGTGAGCAAGTTCAGGCCGTGCTCCATTCGTTGGAGCTGCTGGACATTGAGCTGAAGCCGGGCAAAGTTGGGTACCCAAGTGCCGACCCGAAAGAAGGCATTCAGCGACGGTATCATGATGGCAAGCCCTATATGTATGATGTGAACAAGGGCGATGGTGTATGGCTGAGCCTGGATGATGATGATAGAGTCCGCATCATTTTGAACCCTGATGAAGGGTCGGCGCTTTTCGCCGGTTTTCAGTTCCTGGCGAATCTGCAGTTGCCTGTGGCTTTCCGACGGGACGAACTGCACCTGGGTCGCCGTAGTCAGTGTCCAACCATGATGGGTGAAGACTGTGCAAGAATGATCGTGAAGATGGGGTGTAGTTGGGCTCGGAAGTTGGCATTCCACTTGCAGGCACAAGCTGAGCACTCACTTTCGTCGAGTGTTCAATGCCTCTGCTGGTCTGAAGCGAGCCTGGGATGCCATTTATTTGACAGACAGGGCTTGGGTAGTGAATACGAGGAGTTGCTTTTTGATCCTAGGGTATGTGCATAACTGCGGCTATATGCATCTACCGACATACATGTGTGTATGTCCACGCATGTGTTTTTGTATGTTAACATATCTACAGCTGCACTTGTTGTGCACGTCCAATTAATTATGTTTAAAACCATAATGTCAGTGTGGTGTTGAAATATCATGACTTTTCTTCTTAACATGCCATGTATGTAGAGATGCATGCACAATGTACATCTGGAGTGGATTTCTGGCAATCCTGCAAGCAGGCACTCATGCCTGGATCGATGGATAGATGTTCGTGTGTATGTATGTCTGTTTGGCTCGCTAGTGCTCATTGATTGAGACAGACGAGGAATGTTTGGTCTGACATCCTGGCTGATGCGGGCTCGGAAAGCTCCCTGGGCAACGAACAAGATAGGATCCACGTGGCAACAGGCACTACGGCGGTACGTGGAAATCGTGCCCGGTCAGCAACACATGGCCAGTTAGTAAGAGAGCAGCCAGTCGACAACAGCTGTTGATTGATTGAAGTCATGCCTGCTGACTGGCTTATTTTTTAAAGGCCTCGCCAGATGACACTTTGCAGCAGCTCTTTGGACCCGGGTTGTTGCAGGAGAGACTCAGCGGCACCGACTCCTGTTGCATTCTCCACTTGTGTTGCAAATTGAGCTAAGGAACGGGTTCTCCCCGTCGGGAGATGAGCGCCTGGACTTCGACCGGACAGTTCAGATCTTGCAGTCGCTGTCTGGGAAGCTCGCAGCAAATAAAGTGCATGTCGTGGGGCCGGCAATGGAATGATAGCACACCCGTACTTGTTTTCTGTTGTTAAGAGATGAAGCCCAGGAGAGTGCTCAGCAAGTTCTCTCAGGGCCGTTGGCTCTCGTGGGGGTTTTCGGCCCAGTCTTTCACGAGAAAGTACACGTGCTTTTTGGGTTCTGCTGCTGCGACCTACTCACCGACCCCCCGCCATACATCACCGCAGTGCCACTGGCCTGCAGCTTCGGGGGCCACTGCACAAGCCACTTGCCACGCAGGTCGCAGGGGTCCTGCAGTGACTGCGACAGCAGGGTCAATCGCAACAGGGACGTTGCATTGGCCGGTGGCATTGGGGCCGACACAGGTGAGTTGGCCAGGGGCCCTGTGGAAACACACCTGAGAGAGTCCCGCAGATGGCAGATGCACGCCCTCGAGGCATGGCGGTTCCACCCTGGCCGAGTGGAGGTGAGACTACTACACTGGTGTTTGCAAAGACCACGGGGAAGGCCACCCAGCACACAAAACCCGACCCGCCCGTGCTACGACGACTACTGCGACTACGACGACTAGTAGTAGTGCGAGTTCCAGTACTATTACTACTCATACTCCTACCAGGACGACGACTACTACTACTGCTATCATTGGTGTAGCGAAATCGAATCATCAAAGATGACTAGTATTGCTCCCCATTGAGGAAAGAAACATGAGCAAGTTGTTCGCCCTCCACGAGCACACGCTTTGGGTGCATGGGAACGACTACGAGAGTCGAATTTGGGTCTTGGTCCGAGACTCGATGGGGACATCGGCCCTTGGCCGACTGCACCTCTGCCACGACACAGAGGCCGATGCTGCAGGGGCAGCTCAGCTTCAGTCTGAGTTCTTGGGCATTTCGCAGGATGTCATGAACATGTATGATGTTTCGCGACGGTTCTTGCTATGCACAGATACACAAACCCAAAACTAGCCTTGAGGGCCTTACGGCAAGTTAGCCAGACTTTATTTGTCCTGAAATTTGTGATGTAACCGTTTGGTAGAAAGCATTAGACACATCGATCGTCGTGGTTCATGATTCATAAGGTTTCACTTAACGTGCCTCATTCTTCCTCACGTTGGCTCGTTGACATGATGGTGTCTTCGGACACATGGCTTATTTATTGCAAATCGTTAGCAAGGAGTCAAAGCCGCTCCTGAGCTACGCCGGTCAGTCAAGGCTTTATTTCGATACATCATTCATATTGGTCAACCTTGCATGAGGACCCCAGACCGGCGGTCGTCTCACGCAACTCATGTGGAAGGTGCCAGTCATTGTCCTCCCAAGTCAATCACTGTTGGGTCTCATGTTGTTTCATCATTGACATCACTGTCCGGTCATTTTCGGCTCATCTCCATTGTCATTGCTCATCGATGTTCATCGTCATTTTTGTTCATTCGTTAGTTCATATCATTTCATTTCATGCTCGATCATTTCATTTCATGCTCGATCATGTCATTTCATTCTCGAGCATGTCATTTCATGCTCGGTCATGTCATTTCATGCTCAATCTCATTGGATACAGCTTTCATAGTCATGCTGTTTGTGTGCCTCCTCGTTCTGATATTGCGGCAGCTAGCCGAGAGCAGGCACTTGAAGTCCTTCGGCTTTCATTCATGTGCCACACACACACAACACACCACACACTGGACAGAGTCCATCGTCCCGTTCCAGAGCGGGAGCAAACCGCCGGTGTGGCCAAGTACCGGGGGCACTATTTTACATACAGCCAGACTAGGAACATGACCAGGCTGCGGCTGAACGTAATGTAGGTGGAACGGAGCAGGAGGCCGATCATTTTATTTTGGGCAAGCTAAGGTCTTGACGGTTTCGCAGAGGCGCCCTCCGGTGCAAGAGGATCTTATCCGAGATCATTTCATGGCGCTTTTGGCAGTGATTTTCGAGATGAGCATGTACGTCCTCTACCTCCGCTCCAGCCCCGCTCGCTTTGCAGCTTTGCTCGTCGACCCAAAGGACGATCTTCAAAAGGCTCAGCTGCAAGATGAGATCATGAAAAGCATCAAGAAGGAGTGGAAAACGATCGTAGAGATGGAGAACAAGGAGGGCTCCAACCGGCTACTTCAGCAAAGGTGCTGTTTCACGCGATGGGAGTGCTACAGGGAGCCAATGGCATGTTTGGAGTTGGAAGGATGGTCCATGACGGAGAAGGCCAAGGCTGTGCTGCTGAGCTGGCACCCAGGCCTGGCTTTCAGTGCGAATGTGGAGCAGGTTTTTGCTGCAGTTGAGGACAGCTGCAAACGTGGAGTGAAGAATCTCAAGGCAAGCATGAGCAACTTGCAATGCCTTTCCATCCGGGCTGTGGAGCAGAAGGTGGCTGCGAACGAGAAGCAACAGGAGGCAGGCAAGACAGACCGGCCTCGGGCCGTGAAGCTGGGTGTGGAGGACTTCGAGGGCAGCGAGGTCCGTGCCCTGAAAGCCTCGGTTTGGAAACCGACCTCCTTCTCAGGAAGAATCTTGGTTTCATGATTGCTTCGGCGAATGAAGGGTCCTCAGTGAATCATTGATTGATGGAAGCAGTGGACGAATGAGTTGATGTCTGAAGAGAACAAAGCGGCTATCTTTCTGTAATATTCTGAATCATTCACTAATCATTTCACTTCTACATTTATCGTTGTGTCATACATACATGTCATTGCTACGAACAGCCTAAGAGAATTAAGGCTATCATAACCCAGGCAGCCACTTCAACCTGGAGAACATCCTGAAAGGCTGCCAGTCTACCTCCTCGTATCACCACAACAAGGTGGAGTTGAATTGGCTCAAGGGCCTGCTTCTTTCGGCAAAGATTCTCGGCTGTCTGAAGTTGTATTGCATTTGAGAAGTAGCCAAACACAACAGGATCAACAGCCTATGCCGCTGAGGTCGGGCCTGGATCCTGCAGAGTCAAGCTCGAGATTTTGGATTCCGGGCTTGTGCCAGCCCGGAATGCTGCTGCGACTTGCGAGCAAGTTCTACGTTGTCTTGGGATCGACCCCGGCAGTCCTGTATGCTGCTAGACTCGCATATTTTTTTAACATGTTTTGCCAGCCGCTTATTTGGCATCACGTAAAAGATTTTTGCGGAGGCCCTCCAGATGGATGAGATTGGCATGATCTTCAAGGGCAGCCTTCCTGCCTATGAGGTGGACGAGACCAAGGTGAAGCAAGGCGACAGCAGAATGCAGGACTGCCTTGCAGAGCAAGAGCAGGTGAAAGCTCTTGCTTTCCGGCTTGAGAAGTACCTTTGCAGAATGATGGCACCTGTTTCTAGAAGAAATACCCCGGGGCAGTATACCCAAAGAAGCACAGCTTCCTGTTGTTTATGCTATTGCATTTCCCTGTTTCACCATTGAGGCCGATGGTCAAGGAGCTGCTGCTGCAGACGGAAGATGCCTCATGACCGAGCCATAGTCTGCCTGGTCAGGAGTTGTTAAGGCCAATCAATGCCCCTACTTTTCTCCCACGTAGCAGATAGCGATGCAATCAATCTGCTGACGAGGTTGAAGTTTTCAGCTACACGATCCATTTCGTCGGCCCTCGCCTCTGCGACAAACTTGGATGTGCTGCTGTGCTTCGGAGATCCGCATCCGGGCAGACGCTGCTTGTCTGGATGATTCGCAGCAAGGACATCGTCAAGCTGACTTCGGAGACTTTGTCTCAATGGGCTGCCGAATATGCGCTGCAGCTTCGACGAAACAGCACCAAAAGTGCTAAGATCAGAGCACTGTGCCAGCTCCCAGCTGTCGCCGCAGCTTGCACACCGGCCGAGCTCAAGGCTTTGGATGACTTGTTGAATGAGATAGATGAAAAGCGCCGGAAGCGCACAAAGGCCGGCGAGGCCGAACACCAGGAGGACGATGAGGCTCGGAAGGCAATCAAACTTAGACTCATTCTTGCCATTCATCTGTTGTCTGCTCCAGGCAGATCTTCTGGAAGAGGAGGAAGATGAGACAATGGCAGCCGCCAGACAGCTGCTGGAGCAAGTGCAGAGGCAGGAGGACGAGGACCCGGGCCTATGCAGTCATGCTTCATGGTGCCCGTCATTTCCTATCCAGTAGATCAAAGGGACCAACTGAGTCGATGATTGACTCACGTTGTCATGCATTTCTGTGTAAGATCCCGAGAACAACAGCAAGGAGGAAGACGATGGTGCCGCTGCTGAAGACGGGAATGATGATGCAGCAATGGCAGAGGCTCCAGCGGCAGAAGCTCCAGCTGCAGAAGCTCCGGCGGCAGAAGCTCCAGCGGCA